GAGAACTGGGAAACGCTAATCCTGACTGAGCATGCTCAATTTAATGATGGCGAGTTCGGATGAAATGTGTGCGAGAGAGATAAGTTGGTTGTGTTTGTGCTTGTGCGCTTGCGCCTGCGCGTCAGGCTTGTTTGCGAGACTCAGTCGTTTGCAATTTCGTTGCTTCATCATCCTCATTTAAGTCCATGACGGCATACCTAATGTGTAATAATTGCTCACATGAGATACATCGAAGCATTCAATTTTCTGAGAACAATGCGAACGGTCCCATTGACATATGCATGCAGGCTCACTGACGTGACGGTACACACACACACGCAAACGAACCAACATCGATAAGCGGTTGACAATGACGTACTTCCAACTCATAGATCCAAACACTTGGGTTAAGTTCTCAGTTAATGCTTCTTACTGCAATTGTTGGACTTTGATAACGTTGTCTGCCTAAGACAAAACACACGAATAGATGATCGCTTGCGTTGACTACAACAGAGTAGTTTTGACTTACTTTCATAAGGTCCTAGTACAGCAGTTCGATGACAGCAATGGCACCCTTTGTAAGGAGGTTCCCGCGGAAAATCGTTTAGCCGGAAAATAGTCGTACAGATTGCCAGTAGCGTCAAACCAGGCCTTGTGAGTTGTTTGAAGATAAATATTGTGTGTGTGTGTGTGTGTATGTGCGCGTTTGAGAAAGGGAGCCTAAGAAAGCGTGTGAATGTGTGCGCACACCGGTTACCAAGTCGACCTCAAACGCCAGTCATAGTTACAGTTTAGCGCACTTCCGTTACCGACATCAGGAGCCGACACGAGGTCATCGTAAATGGTAGTCAAGGTTTTTGTTGTTAAGTCGGATTATAACACCTGTTGTTAGGTCTCAGTTGTTGAGGGGCCTAAAATTGCAAGTGGTAGTGAGTTTGAGTTTGCTCTCCTATTCCTGTTGTACTTTCGTCTGGGGTTTACCTCGATTCCGGAAAAATCACAGGAGCGGAATTAAAATCAGTTGAATAGGTATACCGGTCCGACGACGGCACACACAATATACATGGATCAACACTATAATAAGGTAGGAATGGGAGCGTATCCAAAACCTGCTACAGCGTTTGTTCTCAGCCGATTCTTATTTTAGCGTAATAGGGGCTATTTCCGGTGTCCTACACGAGGTCGCGTTCGAAACCGGTAAGGAACCAGTTTCCAGGGGAAGTTTATTACAAATTTACACGTGGACATTTGTTTTGGTCCGAGATCACAAATTATCGCAGAAAGTCTAAACACCAAAGAAAAACAAGGGAAATGGCAGCTACACTTAATTGAAAGTGATTTCTTGGGTTTCACCGAAGTCAAGATGGGTCTTAATATCATCATATCATCACTGTCTGATGCATCACACAATACCTCATATTTTCTGAAGCGGCTCTATATCACACGTTGCGCTAATTAATGAAAGAACTGATTCCGAGTTGAGTCCCAAGACCGTTCTCTCTTCGCCGTCACGTAAGGACGTAATTCAGGATATCAGGGTTTAACTAGCCTTTTTCTAGGTCTTCAGCAGGCGACATACCGGACCAGATAAACGTACGACATAAACAACAAGAGGTGAATCCGATCAACTTGTTTGGGTTTGTCTGTCATCCAGGAGATTTTCCAAACATAGATGCACATATCATTACGATCGGTAGGAAGGAAACTAAATGAGAACGGATTACACGTAACGGCAAATATTCAGCTACACTGTCTTTGAACTTTTGTGCTGTGCATTCCAGCAAAGTGCTGCAATTTGCCTCAAATTAAACCTAGCGGCAATCTATCGGTAATATATGTGAGATTCACCGTTCAGTCCATCGTTTTGTAGCCATCGCATTTTCATCGGATAGATACTGCAGATAATTTCTGGTAAGGATGAAACAGCTGTACAGTTTGGCCCCAGAGCATTCCACTGTGTAAAGTGAAGAAGTCTAAGAACACAAATAATTACGAGTCTTAATGTATGTACAGAGTGGTTAGAAAATGGGTAGGCAGAAAATCTGGTATCATTCACTGAAACTCACGCATTTCCGTTGTGATACCACTTTATGTTGGCTTGTCCAAGCGGTGGATTTGCTTCTGCATCACAGGCAAATTCCACCTCTTGTCCAAATCGAATATCCTCGTACTGAGTCGGTTTCACGAGGACCACGCGGACATCTGGCTCCATCCCTTTTCGAATCCATGTACAAGTGTGGAACAGAGGCGGGGTGGGATGAGACGGAGATTGAAGACAGTGCGTTAAATTAGTTATTAGTCTGGGCAGAAACTTTAGTAGAATTATGATGGCATCACCAGTAGCCTATTAGAAACCGTTCGTTCAGTAATCCGAAAATACTGGTTTGTGAAAAAGTCTTAATCATATTAGACAGAATGTTGGTCATGATTAAAAATACCAGGTGTTTTCAAGCCTGTGACATTAGTGTGCATCAGTCCGCGCCAAGTGCGGTCTGTAACCCGTCACTGGCACTTCATTCCGGTTAGGAACGCTATCGTTCCCATCCGCTCAGCTCATGATGGTCTTCTGTAACTACGTTTCTTAAGCCCTTGTGACAAAACAGATGTCAATGCAAGTCAACTGGTTTAATTTGCTGCCACTATTCTGTTCTGGCCCCCTGGAGTCAACTTCCTTAGAAGCCAACCCTAAGACTAAATTCGCTATTCCCACTGACGAGACCTAGGTCGCCAATTGTCGTAACCGATAACCATGACATATTTGGTGTAAAGAAATTAGCACGAGTGCGTCACTGTCCCAGATTTTTATTACAACATATATGAGTATCTGTTTGATGCGATAGTACCACGAAATACTTGACAGTCGACAGCGTGACTAATGCTCGGGGTTCTGCGAAGAAAGCTCGGTTTGCGCTTTGGATTCGCTCCGAGCGAAATACGTTACCAGTATGATCAAAGATCACTTGTTCCATTCAATACGCTCTGGGTCCCCGTGACAACTGACGCTCGCCGCCATCCATTATTAGCGCTGCACCTATGAATGAAATAAAATCTTCCGAGCAAAATGGTGATAATCAACCTTTTTTTAAATCGTACGATAGTTTTTTTGATAGCAAACCGAAAATAAGTGATTATATAACATATATATATATAATCTCTGAGAGAAAAAGTCAACTTCATAATCTGGGTCCCTTTATGGAAATTCGGGAGGGGGGAAATGTTAGCACTCGGATTGGAATGCATATAAAATACTGCGATGAATCAACCACCATAATAAATTCAATTTTAAGTGAAAACCATTCTTTTTATCGACACTTTTCTGTCAACCGCGGTGTTTACTCTTTGATTAAGGGAAAATTTACTCAGTATAAGACAGGTGAATAAGGAGTAATCGACATTGAAACGAATAGCCTGATTGGTCAATATGTGTTACGAGAATGAGTGGTATTCCAGGAGAATATTTCCCTTTAGGGTAATATTCAGTTGCACATCATTTTCAGGGAATTCCTCATGACTATGTGGATGCTTAAAGCATGTGCGTTCCAGTGCACGGTGTTCAGAAGGATGAACATTCGTCGTAATAGAACCATGTGTGCTACTCTTATTAGTGTGTGTGTGGTTTCTGTACTCCGATTAGTTACTTGACAATCTTCAGCTTATCCGTTCACGAGGAAGATTGTCCCAATTCCATCAATTTCATCTATGACATTGACCAAAACTTATTCACTTTTGCCGTAAGAAATGTTTACGGTTGATTGACAGTCTTAGGTGGAGTTTACTTTGTCATGAGATTTTATTGGGAGCATTTCAAAATATCATACTAAGACATTCTTGAATACGGAAATCCAAGGTCCTGCGCTGTATTAGTCGGAGATGTCTAACACCTTTTGTCTGATAAAAAGACTTTAGAACATCTAACGAGAGTGAAAAATTGTCATTTTGTATTGCGAAGACTTGAAGCCAACCAAAAAGCCATGGTGACTCGGTTTGTGGCAGGATCTCCAAGACCCGGCCTAATATTTTAACTCCGTAATGTTTAGGGTCAGTAGATATGGGTGGTGGTGGAGCAGTTAGTTCACTCGCTGTCACCGGCGTGCTTTGGACTCCACAGTCCGAGGTTCAAACCCCGCCACCGCTACCCAACTTTGCTGGTAGGCAGCTTTGCTGTCGTTCAGTTCGGTACCACGCCTGACCGAGTAGGGTCTTATGTGGTTCACCATTCCAAGTCCCGGGGCTTAGGTTCCGGTTACCATCACTAAACAGTAGGTCTTCGTAACTATTGAGTTCACCCTGTCTGCTAATCATCACACTAATGCGTGTAATAAAAAAGAGTAAAAAGGCATCCCAAAGGTTTGAAAATATTTCACCGTGCCAAAATTTTGTACCCAGAAAATGACCGGTTAGTAAAATGTCAGTAGTTTTGTATGTTCAAATGGCACCACCGTCTCCGTACGCTCCCGCTTATGAACTTTTCTGGGCAGCTTTGATTATCGATTTAGATTATGTTGCATTCCCCATACAAATGAAAAAAAATTTAATTGAGGAATTCTTCATTTCATGTAAATGCGTCTAATGAAATGGTGTCAAGTCATGAGGAATCAGTCGTTGCCTCGGACGCACCCAAAGAAAAAATATCCGAATAGGTCCCAGATATGTATCGGAACCAAACGTCGCTTCGTAGCTAACTGGGACCAAGTTCGTAGCACAAATATCCTTTTTGACATTCCACGACTTCATTCGCCACAATGTAACTGCTGTTTTTCAGCATACTGCGTTCCAACAGTTTGTCATATATAACTGGTCCTGATTTGTTCACAGTTCAACAGTCAATTGGATCGAATTGAAGTTTGTGGTAGATGAAAAAGCAGCATATTTGTCCACAAGCACACATTAATTGGAAAGAATACATTATGTATATATCATGAAAAAAATTATTGTAAACAAACATGATAATTTACATGTGATGGAAATGTTTGTGATAACCAACAAAGAGCACTGAACAGCTGTTTCGTCCTGTTTGGGACTCGTCAGCAGTGCGTAATTTTTGTTTCCCTGTCAAGACTCGAACCGTGATCAGTCGGGTCGGGACTTCAAACACTTACCCCTGAGCTACACGGCCTACGGTCATCACCTTGTGCAAATGGCTCAATCAAGTTAGAGTATCAAGCTTGGATTAGCCCATTCGATCGTTCAGAGGCACCAGGCACTCTTGGCGCCTCTAAACAATCGAAGTTGCTAATCTAAGCTTTCTATCGTAAGAATAAACACGATAATGTTTTATTATTTTATCACTGTTGGTAACAGTAGCATGAACTTGCTGTGATAAGCTTTGGACAAGACTTTGATTAAATTTCTCTCCACTTTAGTTTATTCGTCACACTCAAAGGTTCCCCAGAATCAGATACTTCAAGAAGTATCTTTTGATTTAATCGTAATCAGATTCATTGGTTTCCAGACAAAAGGCGTTTCAAGCAACTGCATTCCAACTTTTGTTCTGTGCTTGAATTGAGATGTTTTAGTGACATGCACATCACAATGTCGGGTTTTCTAAAACAAACTGTTTGCTGATTAATTCTCATTCAGAGGATGAAAATTTTTGTTCATATTGATGAGACACCAACCATGCGCTTCTTTGGAGTCATCCCAAGAAAACCGGCATTGATTTGAATGGTTGAAATACTATATGTCATCTACGTGTATGTATCAGTCTCTTGGACGTATTCCGTTGTAATATCTCATGGAATCCGGTACGTTCCTCAAGAGTGACCAATGAGCAGTTAGAATGTGTTACTGACTTGATCATTCAAAACAAAAACCACCATTAGCCAGAGCATCAAATTACGAACCAATTTGCCATGAGTGCAGAAACCCTGGAAATGGTTGATATTCTCCAGTCAAATTGCATTTCATCAGAGACTTGCACAGGAGTAATAATAATGATAAAATAATCTCATCTGACCTGTGAGCAAATGGGTAGCATGGAGTTGTTTTCTGCCTGTGAAACCCGGGTTTGAACACCATTTGAGTCGATGGATTCACACTTCCGCTGATAATAATCAACAAAGTGTATACCAACCTTACATCTCATGCTGCGTCGGATATTTAGAGGATATATTTCATATAAGTATAAGCCAAAGGCGTCAGATCACACCGATAGAATTATTTGAAACTTTGAATATACATATTCTATCACGCTTGTTCGTCGAGTCTGGCAATTTGTTCGCAAACGTCTCATCACCAGCCGAAGTGACATCTTCAGTGCTTGTCAGGTAAGTTGCACAACAAGAGATAAGCTACCTAAGTGGAACGGTTGCCGTTTTTTCTCATTCCTCTACAATAGGTACGAGTGTGACGGAGTCAAAAACCGTAGAAGCCACGAATGGCGCAATCAGTGTCGCTTAATGAGAGATTGTAGACATCGTAGAATCAAAATGTCGTAAAGCACCCAACCACATCACTGGAACGTATGTATTGTTCCAATCATCAACTTCACCATTATCGTCATTTAACGATCATCATCGGCAGAGCTATTCATATTTTTTTGATAAATTACTTTACGATAGTCGGGTTCAGGGAACAGTCTGGTGGTGTGGTTTGAGACAGATATGCAAGTTTGTTTGTGTGTAACAAGATGGGTACAAGATGTCACCGTGATTACACTTGCCTTCAGTTCGAATCTGACAACTTGCCGCAGCTTGTCATCACCACCCCACCCACCGCTTTTAAGCGCGGCCTGCCTCACCAGGACAGGTCGGTTTCAATTGATTTCAATGCGGCCCGGTTGGAACATACACATACACATACACACACACACACACACACACAAGAATAAATTTTAGCGATGAATCGAAAGTCAAACGGCACAATCAAAAACGGACAGGTATATATGCGAGCGCACACATTCGGATAGAGAGGGAGATAGACAGACAGAACACGAGACACGCGAATAGATAGACGGACTGCTAGACAGAAAGACAAAGAATGCAACTTCGGTTTCTGTGTGTGTTTGCGTCAGGCCAGCGGTAATCGTGAGGATCGTGAGAAATATGGGTATATAGGAAGTGCAGGAATCGAAAATCGGAACCAGTTGGGGAAAAAATGACGGCATGCGAGCGTCATGGCGGCCGAA